TTGTACTCGTATTTGCTTATGGCAATGGCTGCTTTAAATTTTGTACCCTTTTCGCCTTGGTTTTTGCTTGGTTTTACCTTTTTACTTAGGGTTTATTTACTAATTTAGTTTCAGGCCGCTGGTCTGTAGCCATTGTTTGTGTCTTTCTTATTTTAAAGTTTAACTGAAAGTTTAAGTCAGTTCGTGCTTATGTACCTGCCTACTTACGTATGTATATAAGTATGCTCCCTTTTGTTTGCTCATAAGTGTTTTCGATTTGACGCTTAACCCTTCATTTATTTTCCAATCCTTAGGCTAAAGCAAAGGTGTGAGTGAATGTGAATATCTATAACTGCCATTTGTTGTTGCTGTTAGTCGCTATTTGTTGATTAATAATATGTATTGGTAAAACATAAAATATATTCTCTTCTTCAGGGACATGACCTCTCAAGTTCGAAAAGTGCTAGTATTTGAAGTTTTATTCTGACGTGTCTTGGAGACAAGAGAAGCGCATTTTGTTCAAGTTTAAAGCTTTGTAAAATAAAAAAAATAAAAGACTTATTTTATTTAAATTAAAAAAAAAAAAATAACTAAAAAAGTTCAGATTCCAGACATACTCAGTAGCTGCGTGAAATTTTTTAATTTTTTTAATGAAAAAATGATAATTATGTATTGTTGCTTTTTTTTAATGCGTAGATTTTTTTAATTAGTAAAATTTGTTTTATGTTGTTTACACAAATAAATTCGCAAATTGCCCTAAAAACACAACAAAATTAAAAAAAATGCGCGGAAAAAAATTAAAAAAATAAAATTTTTCCTATGTATCTTTTGTTGTTAAAAATTATTATTTTTGTTTTATTTTATTATTTAACTAAGTTTAAAAAAGGTATTTGCTACTAGCACTCCCCAATTATTGTAAGGCAATGATTGATCACATTTTTCTATGTAATAAGTAGTAAGTAGTAAGTTTAAATATTATACAAATATATTTTTGAATCCTCACTTTAAAATTTTTGAAATTTCGCTCGTGGATTTTATTTAGTTTGCTTATTTAAGTAGGTGCAACATTTTCTTTGGGCTTTTTTGATACTCTTAAATGTTTTCTCAAATAGAACAGTCTAAAATTTTGTTACATTTATTTTAAAAATATCGTAAAAAATTTAAAAAAGCTGCTCTAATTTTAATGTAGAAGAAACTTAAAAAAAGTTACCCGAACATATTTTTCTACTAATGGAAATAGGCAGCATTTTATTTGAAAAATAAAAAATAAATTTTTCCTATTTCAGTTTTTAATTTTTATAATGTTATTTTTATTTTATTCTGCAAAGTTTTAAAATTACGTACATACATAAATATGAAAATTTTTGGAATTTTTCTTAAATTTATATTTCAATTTGGTTTTTGGAATTTTCTTTGGTTTACTTATTTAGTTCAATTAATTTTTAAGCTGGATATATGTATGTATGTATTTGTCAACTTTTTCTTCACTAGTTTTTAAATTTTTCTATTTCAGTGTAAAAACTTAAAAAAATTACGTAATTAACAAATCTTTGTGGTACTTATGTAAATGTTTTATTTTATATTATTTAGTTAAGTAAAAAATTATATAAATAAATTGGTCGGAATTTTTAATATATTTTCGAAATTCTTTACCTTCTTACTCAAGATAGAATAGCTTCTAATTTTTTTATTTTTTCAGATTTTTTAAATATGTACATTCATTATTCCCAAAGTTTCTTTGAATAGTATTTAACCAGGATTAAAGACTTTAAAAGCCTCACACAGGTACGCATACTGAGATCGCATTAAGGCTGTGAAAGATGCCAGTTTATGACGCAAGAAATTATGATTTTCTAGGAGATTGGTACATTTGGATTTCTGCAAAGCAAAACCGTGCGGTGTTACATATAAATTTGTGCACTAAGATCTTTTTAACTTTAATTAAGGAGCTTGAATTCATCTTGGCTAAACTGTATTACGCACTAATTATCAGAACAAAGAAGGTATTTAAAGTCGCAATTATTTTGCTCTAGAAGTCAATTAACATACATTCATATATATGTATGTACATATGTGAGAACTGTACTGTTGCTTTGAAATATAATCCTTTAGTAAAACAACATCCCCACACCCACAATTACTTACATACATACATATGTATATTGGCATAAGTAAATACAAACAAGTTAATGCTGGCTGGTGTGAAAGTCTCATTCAATAAACAAAAACAAAATATATGTATGTGTACAAAGTATTAAATGATTATTGGCATATTTTGCACTCTGTCTCGCTCTTTTCATATTCTCCGCAAAAGCTGCTAAATTTCAATTTAAAAATCACTTGCTATTCATTTGAATGGACAACTGTGAAAGTTATCATTTTATTTATGCAAACCGGTAAATTTATAGAGACTTTAAGCGTTTGTTTTATTTTGCGTGTATGTATGTATGTAGATATGTAAATGCATGCTTACATATAAACAATCCTATATTAATATGTATGTTTTACGTAGTTATATTATTGAATACCTATAGCTTGTTCGTAAATTTTCGCCAATATTCTTTTGTGGATATGTTAATTTTTGCATATTTTATGGATCCTGTCACTTTGAATCAAATAAAAAAAAAAAAACAAAAGAATTACTGAAAACGTAAAAATTGTCGCGTAGCTCAGTTGCTTACTTATATTATTTATAAATAAAATGCTGCTTTCATTTGTTGTTTATCTCTTTTTGTAGCATTATAAAGCGCTTTAGTTTTTAGCCGCTTCTTTTGTTAGCTTAAAATTAGGCATATAAGAGAAATCCGTTCGCTTTTGTCATCTCTATAAAAAGAAAATGTGTTATTGGTGGGATTATATGACTTCTACTGTGACCTTAAACTAATGTGCTAGAATTTGAAGCAATTAAGTAATATGGGTTCAGTACGGGGTTCTTTGTGTGCGTACCCAACAAAGTTAAACCACCCTAGCCCAAGCCAACCTTCCTGCTACCTTTCGTAAAAAAGCTAAAAGTCCCAGAATTCTACATCTATTATAGAGAGTTCTAAAAAAGTGTTGTTCTACAGAAAATAGAAGCAGATTTCAGTTGTAGCAGCTGTTCAGGACTATTTAGGAAATGCTCAGGAGGAAAAATTGGTTTGACCTCGCATAGGCCAGATACTCACCGCGTACGTTAAGCTCAACTAATGGTAGGCCTAGAAAACGAGCTGTTTTGACGGCGTCCTACTAAAGGGGAAGAGATGTTTGTTGAGTGCTTTTAAGGTGGGAATTGAAGATGATGGTTATTGTCATTCAGATGTAGGACATACGTTAGGGTCGAAACTGGATAATTAGAAGTTTAACCTGTTCAAGTATCTAGCCCGTAGTTGCGGCATTCACGGCGCGAGAGTCGGTGAATTTGGTGGTAGCTTCTCTGTCTCTTTAAATTTTGATCGAATTTTGAGTGCATGGTATAAGAACATAAAGCATTGATTGGAGCTAACTTAAAAAAGTAAGTATTTTTTAAGTTTTATAAGCTTCGTCACAATTCAGCAGCCTGACTGACTGACTGTTTCCACAGACCAACATAAGTTTCGGGACTTTCAAATTTGTTAATGTTTTCCCAGTTGGGAGGAATGTTCACAATAAATTTTTATATGGAAGAAATCAGTAACTTCTTCCAAAAAAAAAAAAAAAATCTAAAAAATCAACGGTAATTGTTAGCAATTTCAAACTTGTACTCTATTGTACTTGCATTTTTGTTGATTTTTTTTTTTAATATTGCACAAAGTTTGAAACTTGGATTTTCATGTTTTTTTTTTTTTTAGAAGAAACTATATTTTTATAAAAAAAAAAAAGAAAATGAAATATAAAAAAAAATAATTTGTTAAAACTTGGAAAAATGTGGTGCAGCTATAATTTTTTCGACCACTGTATATTAGGAGTAATAACCGGCTAGCAGCTAAAAAAAGTCTCAATCTTAAATTAGTCTCAGGGAAATAAGTAAGTGATTTGTATGCAAGAAATCATTTTAGACTAGAGATAACAGATCGAAACACAATAAAATTTTAATCGATTCGAATCGAATTGAAAATNGGTCTCAGGGAAATAAGTAAGTGATTTGTATGCAAGAAATCATTTTAGACTAGAGATGACAGATCGAAACACAATAAAATTTTAATCGATTCGAATCGAATTGAAAATAAATAATCAATGCAAGAAGAAGTTGTCAAAACATAAATCGATCTCCCAAATCGATTCATATATGTATTTTGTTAAATAACGTTTTTTACTTAATTTTTTTAAAGAAAAAAATATTGCGGGCTGACCAACACTGAAATCACGAAAATTTATTGTAAGTAATTTTTAAAACATGTACTTATTGCTATATGCTAAATGCTATCAGGTAGCTGACAATCCGTAATTACTTTTGAAATAACATGAATGTGAGATTTTTAATTTTTTCATTTTTGTGTTCCCTTATTTTATATTTTACTCTTAAGAAAAAAATTTGGGAGTAAATTGTAATTTGGAACATATTTTTTTTTGTTTATGGAAGAAAATGTGCATAAAAAATCGCAAAAAATCAAAGTTAAGTCCTAGCATCTTTAAATTCAATGGACTACTCACATTTATTTATATAGATTTATTTTCAAGAAGCTTTCCTGAAGTGCGGAAATAGAGAGAGAGGCAGGTCACTAAATTCTTTGGTCTTTGTTAATTTTTTGTACTAGCCTCAAATTCACAATTTTTTTTTAATTTTATAGATTTCATTAAAATGCATCGAATGTGGACAAATCGAATGTCGATTCCCAATTTTTTTTACATCGATTCAAGGATCGAATCGGAGCTAAAAAGCTACAAAAAATCGAATCGAAAAAAATCGATTTGAAAATAGGCATTTCTATTTCAGATCCGTCGCTTGGCTCCATTATTAAACTTTTTAATATTTCAACCCACAATTCAAACACACATTCATTCGTAATTCACAAATATTGTCCTATGACCATAGCAATAAAAAATGCAATCCAACCCAAACTTACCTTTTTAAAAACGTTGCAGCCTAACTCCTTGCTATTAGCGAGTTGACGATAAAAATCTGCAAAACCTTTTCTTTGCTCACAAACGAATTCTACACAAAATTGTGTCACCGATCATGTTTTATTCAATACCATACAACTTAAAGCAGTTTCACTAAAAAAAAAAAAGGCCATTAAACACACAATTTCGCCCACTGTCTCTCACACTTTTTCCTGCAACTATGCGTCCGAAACTTTGTTATTCAATTTGCCTTCGTTGTTGTTTTTCCTGCTACGTTTTTTCCTTTGCTGAATTTCTAGAATTTTTCACGTAACGGCTTTTCCACGTACTTTTTTTTCGCACTTTAAATGCCGCCAATTGCGCTTTTTTGTTGCAGTCGTAATTCTGTTTTTTGTGTTGTCCTTTTTTTGTAGTTTTTCGTCGTTGGTTTGCCAAGTTTGCCAATGCTGGTTTTGTTACCACTTTTTATGGTTTGTTGCTGTTGCATTTGTTGTTGTTGTTGTTGTTGCTGTTACAGTCGCGCAGTTCGCTAATATATGTGTGTATTTTAACGATTTTTATAGCCAATAATAAACCAAATACACGCGAAACAAAGACAAAAACGTGCTGAGAGTTGCGGCGGATTGCAGCTGCAATGCTGGGCGCGAAGAAGAAGAAGAAGAAGTAGCAGCAGCAACCAACACCAATGCCAAACTACTAAGGCACTTCTTCAACGACGACAGATGGAGTTAAAAAAGTAGGAAATGCAGCAGGCGAATTGCGCACGCAAAAAAGTGGTTTGAGTTTGTTGATGTTGTTGTTTTATGTGTTGCACTTTTTATTGTTATTGTCTTACTATACATACAATCAAGGGGCGGCGTAGTGCGCGGCGGCGGCGGGCGCGTCAAAAACACAGTCGGACATTTAAGTCTTGTATCAAAAGGAAACTCGTTTTTGAATGCGTTTTGTTATTGGCTACTTTTTATTATTTTTCGTTGTATGAATTTGTTGTTGCAATAGCATTTGTTTGGCAGTCACAAATTTAAGCAGTTGATTTTTTTTCGTTTTTCTTACTCGCTGCTGCTTAGCAGTTGTTTCTCATCGTTTGCATTAATTAAAATAAACAGAAATATTTGAAATTTTTTCAAAATGTTATTCATATTCACAACAAATTGTGTGCCTCTAGCGTTTGGGAGACTGAAATAATTTATTTATTTTTTATTTATTTATTCAACAATCGTCCTCTTCTGCTCGTCTAATTTATATAGACTTGTAGAATTTCACAAATTTTCTTTCGCACAGTTACGAGTACATACATATTTCCATAAACTTAATTTTTTCTTCACATTTTTTGCGCACAGCATTCCATTTGTAAATTTAGAATTTCACAAAAAAAAAACAAATTGGTTTTTTTTTGCCAACTGGTCTTCAGTTTCAATTCATTCTATGTACTTCTGTGGACACACACTCCATCCACACATAGCGTTTTTAGGCAACTAAATGCTTGACTTTTCATTCTCTTCACCGTTGCTTTTCTTCCGTATCGTCTTACCAACTCGGCCAACAGTCGTCGAAGAACTGAAATGTCTCGCACAAAGCTAAGTTGAAACCCGAGAAACAATACATGCGCGTGTATGTGAACGTATGTATATGTAATGCAAGCGCATTTCAATGCATACATACATTGTCTTACCAGCTGGCTCGAGTGCTATTTTCTGATTGTGTCTGGTTGTTGTTGTTGTTGTCTATACCTTTGTGGCTGCAGCACGCGTATATCTTTTCGAGCAGCATGCAATGCACAATTTACACAGATACACACACTCACACACACATATGTACATACTCGTACAAGTATGCCAACCAGAAATCTCACCTGTGTGCCGTATCCGTCAGTTGCAGTTAGCTCAGTTAGCGCTCAGCTGCTCAACAACTTGTACTCAGGTAAATTTTCCTCGCTCAGCGTCTTCGCATTTGTCCTATACATCTACATACAGTGACGCTCACCTAAATAGCACACTTTTATTTTTTTACAATATTCACAATATTTTACATGATAAATTTTTTTGGTGGATTTTTTTTATGTAGTAGATTCTATAACATAAGCTATATAAGTCAAGGTTTAAAATTTTCAAAAAAATTTCATAACAATTTTAAATTTTTTTCATATTCTTGAGAAACTTATTTGGTATGCAGTTTTGTAACTCAATCAATTTTGAAAATTCGAAAAAGTCGCTTTGATTTTCAAGAATTTTTTTTGTCGAGAGTATTGCGCATTTGCTTCCATATAAAACTAGATTTTGTTTACGCGTTATATTTGAGAAAATGCGCAACACACTCGACAAAAAAAAAATTTTCAAAAAACAACCGGATTTTTCAGAAATTTCAAACCTGAACATTATTGTACTAAAAATGAATGAGCTACAAAACTGCATACCCAAAAAGTTGAAAATTAGGCTGACAATTTTTTTATTTACATTTCCCTGAACTGTACAAAAAGTTTTAAACTTTGACTTATATGGTTTATATTATGGAATCTACTATATTTTTATAAAAAATTAACAAAACAAAATGTATGTATCACCTAAAATAGTGTGAATATTGTAAAAAATAAAAGTGTGTTATTTAGGTGAGCGTCACTGTATCTACAGGTATTATATATTTATTTACTTTTACTTTACTTGTACCTTATACGTTATAAACTATTCGCCATGGTTACCTATTTGGTGAGCGTGAGCGCCAGTTTTTTTGAATTACTTTGTGCTATTGCAGAGCGTGTTTTCTACTAGAGCTACTTCTTATTCTCTGTTGTTAAGTAAGTCACTGAGTAAACATTTATTTACTGCTCCGGGGGAATTTTTCGTTTGTATGGGGATTTTGTACTTTATGGCATTACTGGCTGACGGTGAGAATATGCAAATATGTGGTCTGCAAATGATTAAGCACTGCTAGCAGGTGTATAGGGTTACCAGGTATGCAAATGCGTGAGAAAATTATATTTCGGTAATTTGGTTTTTTTTTCAAACGTAAGTGACTTTTCTTTGATAAGCAAAAAATATTAGAGCTTCGAGATTGTATTTATTTCCTAAATAAACTCAAAGCTAAGCTATTCGAACTTTCTTTAGCCAGGGAGCTCTTGTGCTTCTGGCTCCGCCATTTATAGTACGTTGGTTAGAGAGCCATCCTGATTCATAGCGCAAACATGCCGGCACTCGTTGGTATTACTGAAAGATTACTGAAGAAAAGCAACTTAATTATGAAATATTCATCAGAATGGTAGGCACAGTGTTTTCAGCCAATTCAGCCTCACGTTTGCTAGGATGTGGCCAACTGTCTCCTTGGAGTGTGGATTCCTTTCAACTAAGGCCGATGTTATTAAAAGTTATGCTAATGAGCCAAGCCCTCGGGAGACAATCGTGAGCTTGTGTGCATATCTTTGCTCAATCCTACCAAAGCTCTGGGCTAATGTAAGTCGTCAGCATTCCATATTTGTCTGATTATTTCGGTAATTCTGCTCTTTATTTCACTGAGCAAAGTATCCAAAACACGTTTAGTGCCGAGACCCACCTCGCTAGTTTATCCGTATGTCCCTATAAACTGTGAACTAGGCTAGGGCTATTTCCATTAAATCAGGAATTGCGGCCAACTTCTTCCGTAATTACCTTCGTTATCAGAAAAAATGTTTAATTGCGTTCCAGCGAGGGGTTTTTTCTTGGGACGTTGTGGTAGCTCACTACCCGCAAGTGGTGCAACAAAACTAGGATAAGCCTATTTACTTCTCGCCCCCTCTCTCTAAGGTGCAAAAGGCGTTTAAAATTTTCTTCCAGCAAGGGTATACTATTTTATGTGCTTTAATGCCTTCGTTCCAAAAAACGTTTCCGCCGTCGGCAAAACGTATAACAGTCCGGCTGGCGAAAAGATAGCTTCAAATTGAGTTTTTCAATCAAGATCGCTGTACCTTTGGGCTATTTGTCAAAACAGTTACTCCCACTGAGTACTGGGCTGAATTTGGAATCCAACGAGGCTAGCAAATTTCGCGTGGCGTTTGTGGATGCTCCAGATAATTAGTATAATATAATCGATAGTCAGGGCTTTTATATCAATTGTAAGTCTTTTTAGAATGAAGCCTGTAATCGGTCAGATTATAGACGTGTCCATTAATTTATAACCCTCGGCCTCAGTCCTCATCTATTGCTGCATAAAATACCACGGAGGCGTTTCTTTCTCGGTTAAATCTGCGCTCAAGAGTCACTCCAAAGTCACAGCTTTCTGCCTGATTGATCCAGTTCTTTACCTTTGAGTTTAGGTTGGTAAATGGGATGATTTGCTCTTGTTTGATAAGATAACACCGGCACACAAAAAAAGTGGTCTGTGCATTTAACCAGACCCACCTACCGAGATGTATTTCTACCCACTGAATCCGAATTTGCTATCCGGTTCCCTCTTCCCCCACCAAAATTTAGGGTAAATTGTGAATTGTTTGCCTTTTTCTCGCAATTTACTCGAAATTCAGCGGATCGAGGTCCTTGGGCGGAGGTTGGTCTGGTTAAAAGCACACACCACTTTTTGTTTTTTAATAATATAATAAACACACCTTTAAATGCAGTCTCTTATATTGTTTACGTTGAAGAAATTACGATTGATTTCTCATACTTGTGCTCGTGATTGTATTGATATTTCCCTATTCAACTACACATAGGACCTCAATAAAGGCTATGGAGTAGCTTTTTGTTTCCAGCCAGTACAGTCTATCCGGAGGAAGTGACCTCTATAATTTTTATCGCGTCCTCTCTGGTTGTGGAGAAGTGATAAACTAACGGCAGTCCAAGCCCGTTTGCCGACGTCCCTCGAGAGCTGCCATGAGCTAGCGCTGTGTGAAACAAGAGTGTAGAATTAATCCGAAGGAACTAGCAGCGCAGACTGCCTTGAAATGTTATCCGAAGCTTTTCCTTTTTTTGATTTGATGATACCGTGGCCAATAGAGGCAGAGATTAACGGCTGAATTATTACAAAACATAACTTATGAGCCTTTCGTCACGTAGAGTTGCGGAGTCTATCTGCGTCCAAATAACGAAGCGATCAAGTACAGCAAATCATTGAACTATTTTTAATATATTCATCAACTCCAATTGATAGCATNTATTTGTCCTATACATCTACATACAGTGACGCTCACCTAAATAGCACACTTTTATTTTTTTGCAATATTCACAATATTTTACATGATAAATTTTTTTGGTGGATTTTTTTTTTTTATGTAGTAGATTCTATAACATAAGCTATATAAGTCAAGGTTTAAAATTTTCAAAAAAATTTCATAACAATTTTCATTTTTTCATATTCTTTAGAAACTTATTTGGTATGCAGTTTTGTAACTCCATCAATTTTGAAAATTCCGAAAAGTCCCTTTGATTTTTAAGAATTTTTTTTGTCGAGAGTATTGCGCATTTGCTTCCATATAAAACTAGATTTTGTTTACGCGTTATATTTGAGAAAATGCGCAACACACTCGACAAAAAAAAATTTTCAAAAAACCGGATTTTTCAGAAATTTCAAACCTGAACATTATTGTACTAAAAATGAATGAGCTACAAAACTGCATACCCAAAAAGTTGAAAATTAGGCTGACAATTTTTTTATTTACATTTCCCTGAACTGTACAAAAAGTTTTAAACTTTGACTTATATGGTTTATGTTATGGAATCTACTATATTTTTATAAAAAATTAACAAAACAAAATGTATGTATCACCTAAAATAGTGTGAATATTGTAAAAAATAAAAGTGTGTTATTTAGGTGAGCGTCACTGTATCTACAGGTATTATATATTTATTTACTTTTAAGAGGGGGTTTCGTCTGCTTGTACCTTATACGTTATAAACTATTCGCCATGGTTACCTATTTGGTGAGCGTGAGCGCCAGTTTTTTTGAATTACTTTGTGCTATTGCAGAGCGTGTTTTCTACTAGAGCTACTTCTTATTCTCTGTTGTTAAGTAAGTCACTGAGTAAACATTTATTTACTGCTCCGGGGGAATTTTTCGTTTGTATGGGGATTTTGTACTTTATGGCATTACTGGCTGACGGTGAGAATATGCAAATATGTGGTCTGCAAATGATTAAGCACTGCTAGCAGGTGTATAGGGTTACCAGGTATGCAAATGCGTGAGAAAATTATATTTCGGTAATTTGGTTTTTTTTTCAAACGTAAGTGACTTTTCTTTGATAAGCAAAAAATATTAGAGCTTCGAGATTGTATTTATTTCCTAAATAAACTCAAAGCCAAGCTATTCGAACTTTCTTTAGCCAGGGAGCTCTTGTGCTTCTGGCTCCGCCATTTATAGTACGTTGGTTAGAGAGCCATCCTGGTTCATAGCGCAATCATGGCGGCACTCGTTGGTATTACTGAAGAAAAGCGACTTCACTATGAAATATTCATAGCATCGTCACAGAGGATGTGGCCAACTGTCTCTTTGGAGTGTGGATTCCTTTCAACTAAGGCCGATGTTATTAAAAGTTATGCTAATGAATTTGGCATGCCGACCCACGAGCCAAGCCCTCGGGAGACA